TTGTAGACCTAAGCTAATTCAAGCTCCACCTGGGTTGTATTGGGTGAATTGAAGCCCAGGAAATAAGATCCCAAATGTCGGTCAGTATGACCAAATCATACATCCCATTTTCAATATTCTCACGAACTTTCTCTTCCTTTGGGTTAATTGAAGCCCAGGAAAAAAGTGAACCTTATTGTAGATCTACAAAGAAAGGAAATTTTGTAAAGGTTCTTCACTACCTACTACAATTATTGGCCAAATGAATGTAAGGATAAAAATGTAAATTTATAATTGTAAACATGTCTAGTCATACTCAACAAATGCAAGATTAAATTTATCTCCAAATCTATCTCATTGTCAATCTTGGCAAACAAACATAAAACTACTATAGTCTTAACAGTACAATCTTACCTCTCAAGATTAAATTAATCAAATATTATCTAGGCAAACAATAGTGCTCCTAGTGTTTGGCAATTATGCTACTCCCAGTCAAACAACCATGTCCGCTATGTTTTAGTATTTCCTTATCCTCTGCTTTATAAATAATAATAATGTGAATGTTATGTTTTTAAAACAATGTGGACTTCTTTTGGTTGTTGCTCTTCAATTCACGGATCCTTGACTTTCATTTTCATCAGGCTTTTACGCATTTTCTTTGCGCTCAATGTAATGCATAGTTTTGCTATGTTGTTACTTGATGTTCATATACCACTGTTGATGGATCATGTTTATCTTTTTTTTTTCTTTTAACTAAAAAATATAGTGGAACTTGGTGGCATTCAGTCCATCACTAGAAAAATGCAGTGAACTAGCTCAAAGTTGCATGCATAATTAAATTCTCCTTATTATCACATTCATTCCAAATACAAATTTTATTTGTGAAAATAGAATTTTCTTGCCCAAGATTGGTATTAGCTTGATTCTTTCATGATTGATATCTTTGAATTTTCTTGCTCATTTCAGATTCATGAGAAATGCTTGTATTACGCTTTGCAGTAGAGAGAATTATTTTGAGAATTGGCATTGAGTTCAATACCTTGGATGCATTTGATTGTGTTCAATATCTTTCTTTATTGGCATTATTTTAACCATTTTCTTGCATTTGTTTTAACTAGGAAGATGCACGTGCGTTGCACGTGTTTATTAATATATTTTTTGTAGTTTAAAAATTATTTTTATTGAATTTATTCTTAAATATTAACAAGATCTCATTAGCTTAATAATATAAATATATATAAAATATATTAAATATATTGGGCACTAAAATGGAATCTATAATAATATTAATTTAAAACTATGATTAAATAAAAAAATAAATATTTTTATAATCTAAAAATAAAATCAATCATCAGTGATTGTTGACTATTAGTGAAATCTTCCTTATATTTCATTTCTTAATTAACGGTATCTTTACTATTGTCTGAAATCATGATCATCGTTGTCGCCTTTTTATTGATATAGTTTTTTATGTCTTATTTTTTTGTCATGTGGTTTGAAGTAATTAGTTCTAATTGTTAATTCAAAGATATTCAACATTGTGTTCAATATTTTCTCTTACTTTTATCATTCAATTATGGTGTTATGAGATTTTTTTTTTCGTTATTGTCGATATCATGTAAAATTTATAATCCAATTTATGCTTGCAAGTTCAATTTTTCTAAATACTAGATACAATTTCTCAATTTATTTAAATTTTCTTTAAGTATGTTTATATATAATTAGTAAAAATAAATAACATCAAAATATAAATATAATTGTAAATATTTTACTATGTACATGTGCTAGTTTATATTAAAAAGTAGGGAAAACTACACTTAACCCCCCTAACTATAGGGTCTTTTACATTTTATCCACTCAACTTTTTTCTTGACACTTTGCCCATATAACATTTTAAATAATTGCACTTAACCAATTTCCGGTCATCATCCGGCCATTTCTAAGGACAAAGTGTAAATAAAAAAATTGAGTGGGTAAAGTGCAAAGAAACGTATAGGTGGGTGGGTAAAGTGTAAATATATCATTGACAATTAACTTAATGAATGACTGAAAAGTCAAATTTGCCCTTATAAGTTCCCGACGATGACCGAAAATTGGTTGAGTGCAATTTTTCGCAAAGTTATATGGGCAAAGTGTCATGAAAAAAAAAAAAAATTTAAGTGAACAAAGTGCAAAAAAACCCTATAGTTAGGTGGGTTAAGTGTAGTTTTCCCTAAAAAAAATTACTACATAATTCTTTACATACTCTTATGAAGTATTGGGTCGGTACGGTTCGGAGATTGATAAATCTCCATAACCGTACCAAAGTTCGGAGATCCCAAAATTTGATCTCCGGAACCGTACCAAAAAGTCAGTTCGGTTTGGTTCAGAGATTTTTATTTTTCGGTTCGGTTCGGTTCGGTATTCGGGAATATTGGGACGGTACGGCTCGGTATGGTTTGGTTCGGATATTCGGAGATCTCTTATTTTTTTAGAATTTTTTTTAATGACTACCTAGTTATATTTTAATTTTTATATGCTTTATAAAAACAATATTCATCAATAATTCATCATATTAAATATTTTATTTTTGAAATCAATTTTAGAAGTAATTCTAAAATTTAGTTATTTAATTTTTATATGTTTTAATAAATCCAACATTCATCAATATTTCTTCATATTAAAAATTTTATTTTGAAATCAACTTTAGAAGTAACTCTAACTTTTAGTTAAAACTAAATTTGTGCAACTGATATTGAAAATTTAAAATTCAAACAAAATATAATATTTTTTTCTAAAAAGATATTCTTTAACCTTTCATATTATTTTAAATAATTATTTTATAATAGAAAAAATTCAATTGGAGATCAAGTATCATTAAGCATGAAAGTTAAGTGAAAGTCAATAGTTATTATTACCATATTATAAAGGATTAAATGAGACAAAATATATTAATAACACATCTAACGTATAATTCGGTTCTTCGTTTCGATACGGTATGAGACGGTTCGGTTCGGTTCTCGGTACGGATATTTTTTAAATCTCCAGAACCGTACCAATTATTTTTTTGGTTCGGTTCGGTTCGGAGAAAGTCAAACGGTCAACGGTTATTTTTCGGTTCGGAGTGATTTCGGTTCAATTTTCGGAACGGTTCGGAATTCTCCGAGTCCCATGCTCAGCCCTATAAAGTATGATATGAAATATGTCACCATATTTCCAAATTCTGAGATCTTCTCTTATTCATATGTAAATAATCGGGCCACATCTAGTCTGGCGGGCCACAATCATGGGAAACAAATGTAAGACAATGCCCATATTAAGCCCCTAATCTTGTCTAGTCTCCTCCAGCAAACGTGCTCTTAGGGTGTGATTGTTTATCAATTCACTCAAAAAAAAAAAAAAAACCAATCAAAACTCAACTTTAATTCAACCTTACTATCTCCAATATTATCAATATTATTAAATAATATCAATCAATAATTCAATTAATCATTCTTACACATCACATCAATTTTAATTCACTATTCATTCACTCACATAAATTTAACTAACTATCACTTCCAATCATTTTTCTCTTACTTTTACATCATATCAACTTTAATTATTTTATTTTAAATATTATTTTAATATATCCACTAACAACTAACTATACTAATTTTTTCAAAATTAACTATAATTAAAAAAAAAAACCAATTAATTTCAGGTAAAATACACCAAACCCTTCTGTAATATACTAAATATGCGCGTTATCCTCTTCTATTTTAAAAAATGCGTCAAACCTCCTTCAATTGTAGTTTGGCTTGCGCGAAACACCCTAAACCATCTAAGATGACGGGGGTGGTGTGCTAGCCAAACTACAATAGAAAGGGGTTTGACGCATTTTTTAAAATAGAGGAGGATAACGCATAGATTTAATGGCTAAATTGCATATAAAAGCACCACTTTTCATGTTTTTGCAATTTAATCACCATCTTTGCAATTTAGCAATTTAATACACCACTTTAGTTATTTTTTGCAATTCGAATCACATGGCCCAATTTTGGGCCTGTTCTGGTGACGTGGAGGCCCATTCTGCTGATATGGCATTTTTGTGATGACGTGGTGTTTCCACGTGTCAATGACGTGGCATTTTTGGGCTGACATGGCGACCCATGTGTCAATTAAAAAAAAAATTATGTTGCACGCTCTGACATTCGATCCTGGGTTGAAGGGGTTGAAGGGTAGCCTTAGCTACCACCACACCAATCTAACTTAGTTGTTAAATGTGATAACCCTTTATATATATACACATTACAT